CGCACGTCCCACGTTGGAACATTTTGATTTTACTTTTCTTTTGCTATCCATGCGCTGTGTCTTGTAAAGTTATACCTTTTATCCCATTATACACTATTGAACTATCGGGATAGGCAGTCGAGATTCTGCTGAAGGACGTCACAGTCTTCGGGAGAATCAATAACCCTCCAACTCTTCAAGTCATCTGTAAACTGTGCACAAGACCACCGAACAAGCTGGGGCACTTGTTTTATGTGGATCAGGAATAAAATTGGCCCAAATACCGTGCCTTAGGGGTACACTGCTAGTGGAGAGTTGCCATTCCGTTTGACGGTTATCCACCTGAATCCGCCCTCTTCTCCCAATAAGGAATTCACTTATCCACCGGTGCAGTTTGCCATCAGCACCACACATCTTCAGCTTGTGGAGCAGTACCTCATGGTTCTCTTTCTCAAAAGCTTTACTGAAATCAATAAAGATAACATCCTCTAACTTTCATCAGTTCAACATTTACAACCATTCCTGCCGCGTTACTATCAGATTGGTGACGCACAAGCGGCCATGCTCTGCCGGCGTTAGGATATCTTTCGACTCCAGCAGCTGGCGAAGGCCCTGCTTCGCTCTCTTTTCGAGCACCTTATCCAAGGCAGAAGTGAGACAAATCGGCCGGTACTTATGTACCTTCATGGGTCACCGCCTTTTGGAATCGGCCTCACTACCGGCATGTCCAGTAGATCGACAATGCAATCTGTTAAACAGATCCGTCACGGCAGGCGAGATGATGGCCGAACCGGATGAAGTCCATAGGGCCTACAGGTTTCTTGCCGTCAACATTGGCAAGTAGACTGCGGACATCTTCTACACCGCAATCCAGGCTGTCCACTTCAGTAGGGGCTCCACACATCGAGCTCGGCATAGGCGCATGCCCACTTGTAAATACGGAAGCGAAGTCCTCCGCCAATGCGGACGCACGTTCAGTGCTGGAGGTCAGAGACTGTCCGTCAGTGACCCCTAACACAGCTACGTCACTTGCTGACCTCAGGCGCTGCCACACGTAAACAAAGATTTTGGGGGTCCGTCTTCGCTGAGATTGCAAGCTGATCTTCAAACTGACGACGCTTTCTCGTTTTTGTGCTGTTGCAAAGATTCCTTTGCCATTTGTACGCCTCATAATCGCCAGAAGAGTCAGGCAAGAGGAATTTATTCCATAAAACGCGTCACCGTCAAGCCAGTTAACTATACTCTCTGTCACACCAATGTGGTTACATTGGTTCAGCTTTCCGAGATTTGAGATTTACGAAGCGTGCGCCTAACGTTTGCACACCATCTTTTTTAAAAGATCAGCAGACTTTAATAAATGAACCCTGCGGCGGCGAAAAGTCCACTTTACTGGCGGCTCGATTGAAACCATCGAATTCCGTCTTTCAGTAATTGTAGAACGGCTGCGGCGGATGCGAGTCGGGCAGCGGCAGCTCTAGGTTGGCTAAGACCATCGAGTGGTCGCTAGTTGCCAGAGGTTACAAGATCTGAATGTCCTATGGACGTTGCTCGCAACCCGTTGGTAGTAGGTCAATACACGATGGAACAGCCTGCAGTGTAACGGGTTTCGGTTGGCAGACGTTTTGTGCTGTCCGAGTTTCAACTCTCGTCTACGCAACATGCTCCTCGATTTCACAGTGCTCGGGAAAACTTGAACTTTAAGCCATTGTATTCGAGGGAAATTTAAATCGCCCATAAGCAGGAATCGGGGCCGACTCATGTAGTTTCTTACATGTAACAACAAATCAAGACATGGACTTCACGGGCTGCGTAAGTCACACCTACAAACAGTTCATCCTGCCTCAGGCGGATCGTGCACCATATTTGCCTGCACAGGTGATCTTCGCTGCGGTAGGTGTGTACCAGTCTCCCGCACAGCGAAGACCGAATGTATGACAGCAGGCCACCGCGCTCGTTTGGTACTCTGTCGCACTGGAGACAAGAGTAGCCACTAATCTGGAATTCCTGGGTATTGACCTCACGATTTAAACAGGTTTCGACCAGTCCCAATATGTCCGGACGATGAGAGGCAAAGAAGTGATATAGATTGTCGCCTTTGTTCATTAAACTACAAACATTTGCAGTGGTTACGCGCAGGCCGCGGTTGGAATCGCCGGGCGTGCATGAAGCGTCATCGACCTATTGATCCGAAAATTTACAATACGATTTACCTTCTCCATCAATGACCGCGGATTTCATTTTCCCTTTGTCTTAAGGATCCAAATGTGGACGAATACGGATCTGCAAGACTTTTAGCCTACCGAGGCGGGTTAATACCAACCTCCCACTCGCGTCATTTACAAACCTGATTAATAGAGGCCAAGTTTAACCAGCAGCAGCAGCCACCCATGGTAACGCGTCACGATACACATCAGATATCCCAAAAAAGGATCGGAGCACAGAAAGAGAAATCCACATGCCCTAGGTTCAGGTTTATTTTGGGGTGAAAAAGCTTTTGGATAACAGGAAAATAGACAAGTCAAATTTCAGTTGAAAAATGCATTGATTTATCAACAGTCTGTGTTAGCAAACATATGTTTTCGATACTTCATCTTCCGGCTTGTACAATTACATAAGGGGCCATATTTGTCTACAGACCCAAATGGGTCGCCAGTCATCTACTCGATTCTATTGCACGAAAACAAGCACCGAGGATCAGGTCCAAGCTGCAGTTCCAAGCTCACATGGCTCAACTTCAATCTATCCTGGCCAAGGTAGACACAACGCTTGAGTGAACCTTTTCTGCGTGCACAGGCCTGGTTCATACAACCGAACGGCCATGGCTTCTACGACGTCTAATACCTGCTCACGGAAATACCTTGGTCGAGTTTCTGGGACTTGGTAGATTAATCTGAACGAATCAGCTGACTTAAGGGCGTGACCCGTATCCACAAGATGAGCGGCAATAATAGATTGGTGGCCTTTCGATCTTCATTTCTGAGCCAGGTTGGATGGTATTCCTTTACCCCTTCGGACAAGCGTTTAGTCCTACGACCAACTTAACCTGCTCCACAGGAACAGGTGAACGAGTAAACACAAATTCCGTTGGTGTGGACAGGCAACTTATCCATGAGGTTCAGTCTTACCATTGGGGAGCCGGTGAACCGGATTTTCATTTTCGCTGCTGGGAAAGCATTCCTGAGTGTGGGCAAAAGATGTCGTTATAGAACCACTGTTACTATTTTGCCTTTTTAAAACAGTTGCAGGAAATGGGTTTCCGTTCCGCCGTGATGACTGTAGACGCATCCTTCTTTCGCTCCATAATGGCATTAATAAAATTTTCCGGGTAGCCATTCTCGTGCAACATCAATGTGCTGTAGCTATTCGAAAACAGCGCCCTTTGAGAAGATTCTTTCGGTCCAGCTAACTAGGCTGGGGACAGAGTTCCTCTTACTTCGAAGCTGCACAAAGCTACGAAAGTTTTTGTACCGTCCAATCTAAGTGCACTTCTGTAAATACGACGTGATGCACCATCATCAAGTTTTTGTAAAGCTGCATTGATAAAATGAAAAGCACCATTGTCTTCGACTTTGCAGTACGTAGATGACCTCGATTTTGTTAGAGACGCCAAGTAGGATGAAGATATCATCCATGTAACGGTGATATAAGGTGAGTCTGCTGATGGCCGCTTTCAGTCTACTCTGTTCCAACATGCCCATGAAAATGTCTGCGAGGGATGGTCTAAGCGGGGAATCCATTGCAACTCCATTCCGCTGCCACGAGATATCCCCGTTGAATAGAAACTGAACATTGAATATATACCTGAGCAGTTGTTTCAAGGCCAGAGTTGATATACCAAAATTAACTTGGTTCTTGTCAGCGTAGTTGCAGATGTACTCAATTGTTTCAACTATAGGCACATTCGTGTACAGTGAGGTGATGTCGAGAGAGCATATATTTTGATCCGTGACGTTGACATCGCGCATGGTATCTACAAACTCAAAAGGGTCCTTTAGGGTATATACAGCGACTCGTCTAAGCACAAACTCAAGAAGCTCAACAAACCAACGAGTAATCGAATGATAAAGGGAGTTTCTCATGTCCAAAACTGGACGACCAAGACAGTTAGGCTTGTGTGTTTTAGGAAGTCAGTAAAGTCTTGGAATAACGGTGCCCATGTGACGTAGATTTTCATAGACAGATTCACCGATATAAGCACGTTAAGATATTCGAGACAGGCTCACAGCTGGTTTTCGATCTGCTTTATTTTGTCTCGATCACTTTCCATTTTCAAGAATTGCATATTATATGCTAATATTTCACCCATCTTGTTGAGGTAGTCTGCTCTGTTAAAGATAACTATGCCGTCGTCTTTGTCTGGAGGAGGAAGCGTAATTTGATCATTTCTAAGCAGTCGCTGAAAAGGCAGAATGTGCTCCTTTTCCACTAGGGTGTTGTGCCATACCCGGGCATGCCAACACTGATAACAGGCATGCACAGTGTTCTTGAAACACAGTATCCAAGCTAAGATTTGAAGAAAATCTTTGTACTCCGAAACACGACAAATGCACCATGGCACTGGCTACGGTGTATCACACCTTTTCATGCCAGGTTTGCGGGAACAAGGAGATCAGCTGCTTAACGATTGCCACGCCTGAAGAAGTCCATCTGAGCCGGCAGCCTTGAGCCGCTTCGGGCGTCGAATCTTGAGGTAGACTTTTCGCTTCACTAGTAGACCCAGTGAGATTAGCCACAGTAGACAATGTGGCAGTGGTGGCCAGTCGGACTGGGAATAAAAGTGTTCAGCCTAACCATCCAAAAGCTTTTGCTGCTTGGCGATCGGAGACCCATCCGCTTCGCAAACATAACAACCATAGGTTGGTCTGTGACGGCAGATTTGAGTGGTGGCGTGACGCACTAAAAATGCAGCATGGTTCATGGTTGGCACTAATACAATAATCCTCCAATCATCAATGGTTGACACCAACACAGCCAGCTAAGCGGCTGATACAGGGCACTTTGAATGCAGGTCGATATTGATTTTTAGAGCCCGGTGAAATTCCTCCGATTGGAAGCCATTATACTCATACTAGGCAGGGGTTTGCGGTCATGGGATGTGGCGTGTCTAAATTATCAATTCCTTCATCTACTGGAGAAGTTGCAGATAACCACCTTGAAAATGGTCGAGCTTCAGCCTTAAATGAACCTGATCAAGGCAACATAACTGCCGGCCATAAATCTCCAGAGACCCATAGTACGAGACCCACGACGCCAAGAAGCACAGACAGTGGTGATAAACATTCTTCTTGTAGTGATAATGAAAGTGACGTCAGACAAGTCTCCCCTATACGGATCAGAGCGGATAGCGGGAGGGACGCGCTGCCTAATCTAAGCCCTGCTGTAGCCGAGATGAAAAAAGGCTTTGTGGCCTTCGATATCCCGTTGAACGATTCGCAGAATGTCGAAATGGACAATATACTTAAGAAACCATTACCGAGGCGCCTAAGGGTATAGCTCGTAAAACCAAACTAACAATTGCGCCTTCAGCGCTTAGAGCCACTGGGAAATGCTCCGCTAATTACCACGGAAATGCTTATGGAAAAGTTAGAAAAAGCCGAAGCAAAAAGACGAAAGGTAAGCAGATGTTCTTGGTACTGAAATGTAAAAGTAGAGTAGAAGGCTTTTGCGCAAAGGTACATCATGTTTTCTGCTTCGCCCTTCAAGAAAAGTAATTGAGAAAAAATGACAAGCGAAGTATTAGCGTAGATTAGAATAACCGTTTTTATGGACAAGATAGAATGCTGAGCAGTCTGTGTGCTCTGTCTCATCCGCATAACAAGTTTGCGACTGAACTTTGTCCCTTGGAAAACAAATCCCGTGACACTTTGGAGGTTACTGCTATGTATGATGCAGCAACGAATTTGTAGTTTTCTAGACCAACATCTGCATAAATGCTTAATTCTGGTGGAGGCTTGAATGCACTTCTAAGTCAAGTCAGCTATGTTCTTTAAGCACCCACAAAGGGGGAATATGTGGCTGTAACACACACGCCACGGACAGGGATTTCAACAGTTCAGTAGTGTATGATAACAAGTAGAATTTTATAAGGCCCACAGGATGGATACGCAAAAGAAAAGTAACATCAAAATATTCCAATGTGGCACGTGAAATATCAGTGGTTAAGCCATTGAACTTTATCACCCTGTTGTGTAGCGTTTATCACTAAGACAATAGTCCATTAGACTTCCGAATGTCATCATGTCTTGGTAATGCATTTCAGTGAGAATAGATTCTAAGTGCGCAAAAATACCTTTAACAATTCAAACGGGAATGTTGCGTCATTAGATTCAGATGTTTTCCTCGGCATAGTTGGTAAGAGGCTAGGGTCAGCAATGATGTACATAGATGCCCACTTTCAGTTAGTATCCGGTAAGTGAGAATAAGATCTCCGCGTGGCCGTCAGTATTCTGAAGAAAACACAGAGTACACGAAGACGCACTTCTTAACTTATACCGGATAGTCAACGCGTTGCCTTTGCGGCTCTTTTTTTGGGTTGTTCCAATAAGCGAATATCTCGTTTCAACCATGGACACTAGGCCTGAATTGCTGAATTATACCAAAAATCCTCACTACTGATCACCAGTATTTGTAGACTGTCAAATTATCGCGTGTTTATCTGCGACTACCGATTCCATCACTTTTGATAAAACCGGTAGGAGAGTAGTAGGTGGGTAGTTGACAAGATCCGATCGCTTACCTCCTTTGTATAGTGGAGTGATAATTCCATTTTTCACACAGATGGGAGTGTACGGAACTCAAGTAGACCCTGGAAAAGGCTGCGAGTGGTACTGCTATGGTTGGAGAAAGGGTTTCATGTACCTTCGGGAAGATTTTGTTGATTCCAGCTTCACTGTACTCACGGAGATGCTATAATTTGTTTGCAACAGCTGCTGGGGTGAAGGTGACGCTGGATAAGCCGATGACATTTGTTGGGAGTTGTTAGGGTGAAGGTTCCATGGTATTTGTAGCCACTGAGCCAAACTGCAGGAGTAGAGGGTTCGTGGCATTCACATCAGTAGTTGTTAAGCCACTGGCCGTCTTGAGTGGTGATATTCCTTTATTTGCCATTCACATAGCTCTATAGCAGTGCGGTGCTACGCGTAAACTTCAGTACCATGGTTTCCTTCTATTCGTACTTGTAGACTTCAATGAGCGAAGTGCAGTAGTTCCTGACTGTTTCTAATTCTATCATGTCGTATCACTTGAGCTTAGCAAATGTCGCCTCAGTTCTCATTTCTTCTGTTGAGCCATGTACGTGTTCTGATTCGAATCCACGTATTCGTTCGTTGCGATGCTCGTAATGGTACAACTTTTGGTGTTGAGTGTATGACCCAGCTACTTTTTCTTTCAATTCATTCCATGCGTCATTCGCTGAACTGTTCGTCCGTAGGTCCCAGCCAACGGTTGTCGCTAAGTTGTGCAGCTTAAAATAGCTCGTAATAGGCTTTGCGTTTCTTCTTCTTTATCAACAATACTGGCATAACATACATAGCCAAATGTTAGGACTGAATGGTCGCTACGGCCCAGTGGAGGATCGTATGTTACTGACTCAACCAACTCTTCTTTAGTCAGGAGTTGTTCAAAGAATGATGGCTTGTTTGAACCGCGTGGTCTGGTTGATGGACGCACATCATTACACAAAACCGCCATGTCCACGAATCCAAAGAGATTTTGCTTTAAATGATCGCCTATTAGGGGACACTGTTGCTATTGAAGAAACATTAAAGTCGCCCATTATAAAATAGTGGGAGAACTTTTGTGAAACGGCATACCAGAGAGATTTAAACAGAATGATATCGCTGTCTGATGACCAGTTTGGCAGACTGTAGATAACTGCTAAGAGGCAAGCATCACGCGTCTTCTTATCTGATCCACCATCTCGACCTGCTAGATGCAGTCTGCAAAATAGTGCCACGGGTAGGACAAGGGAATTTAGGTAAGGGCATCGTATTTCAAGTAATCTCGATAGTAGAGAGCAACACCGCCACAGCATGATGGACGATCATTCCGAATGGCAGACATCTCACTGAGTTCAACCTCCGCATCAAGTGTGTTGTTTGAAAGTCAAGTTTCAGTAATTATTATGAGGTCCCATTTCGTTGTTGCATGTCATTGGCACAGTTCCGGGAGATTAGAATACAACTCCTGAGTGTTGGTGTATCAGTGTTGCGTTTGTTGACGTCTTAAGAGCTGGGTTCACTGTACGCAACCGGCACAAATAGTGCCGGTCTGCTAAACTTTTTTTGTAACGGTCGTTTGCGCGGTTGGCTGATCTAAGATAGGCACAACCGAGACTGGCTCATCCGCATCTGGGATCTGTACTAATTGAAGGAATGGTCTTAACCGTACTTCTGTTGCCCAACTTTCCTGTTGTCATGTCTCACCTGGATCGTCATTGATATCATTTCTGGCGCAGCCAAGGTGACTCGCATACTTTTGGCCTGCTGCCTTGGTAGTTTGTGGAGGCAGTTAGACGCGCGACCTCAAAATTCACAACATTGCATGCTGTAGAGCTCTGTGATGTACTTCCATTCTTCGATGTCGTGCTTTTGCTGTTCACTATTCTCGTCATGCTTCCATTATGGCACACTATGAATCAGTACCACTTTCTCCATCACTTTCTGACGTGACGGCCTAGGGTTGAAGTTCCGCTTCTGTCTTCCTGCCCATGGCCACTCAGAAAAATGCGGACACTGACAGAATAGTTTACTACAATTTGGCTTGCTAAGAGAACATCTTCCTGGTCGCCTTTGTAGTCAGACGTTAATCGTAGTAACCAAGGTTCCCCTACGTGTGGAGTTGTTGGATTTCGTGAAAGGCGTGCAAGTCTAGTTGGGCGAACTTTCAGTTCGGGTGTGCATATTAGCTCAGCCCAGTGGTTTCACTGCTCGGCTTGTCTGCCTTCGAGCGATTCGTTAGTGGGTTCTGGGACTTTTGGACACACCATTGTCATCGCCTTTTGGTTGCGTGGTAACAGTTTGTTCTGCGCTTCCATGTGTACTGGGATTTGTCTTGCGGGAGTGATTATCATGTCTGGTGTGAAAAACAGGCCGGGGGTACAGCAAGACTGTTTATCTGCAACGCTGTTAATCACATTATCTTTAGGAGTCAAGTGTCGTTGCCCAGCTACTGACGAAGATGATCGTGCAATTTGTGCGTAACTCTACATACCTTGAGGCATTTCGCGAGATTTTTGAGACCGCTCAACCGGCCTGTCGGCATTGCTGTTCTTAACTAATTATTCACTTTTCACTGGACAGTGTAGCGTTTTTGCTGGTGAGTTAAGTCTTTTAACGGGTCTTGGATTTGGACTGCGTAACACATTAAACTGCAACTCGGGTTCAGAGATTTTCCCTCCCAACACCGCCATCTGTTCATTTTGCTCTACTGATGTAGCAGCTAATGTTTCACACCTCATCGTAAGCATTTGAACAATCCTAGCTATGTGACTAGCTGAATATGCCTCACAGAACCACAACCTGTCGGCAGGCTGCTCTTTCCGTTACACTTTATGGTCACGTTCGTTGCGTCGTAAGCATTGGCATGGAACGAGATCATCTCTGCGATGATCTCTGTTGTCAGCTTGTCTGCGGTACGATTGACTTTGGGTTTGTTGTTAACTGGATTTCCGGCGGACAAACTTCGACCGAATGTTAGGTGGCTTGTACACACTTTTAGGTCACGTTGGTCACACCGTTTGCGTTGCCTCAGTTGAAGCCTGGTCAGCCGGAATTGTGGTCATGTCAGCGGGTTTAGTAGTGGTGCGTCCTCTGTGCATGTTTGTACAAAAATCACACAGGCTTTGTGCCGTAAAATGCACGTCAAAGTGCAGTGTAAATGTTAAACGACAAAGAAGATGTAGCTACAGTGAATGGTGGTGCACAATACTATGGTATGTCTTGGCTGGCAGGCTTAGAGAAGCTCTGTCGAACGGTATCTCAAAGGCGTTGAAGAAACCCAAAATGGCAAGGTTTCACGTGTTGGTTCTAGCGAATAAACTGCCTAAGAGGTCGATTGTGGTGTACAAGCGTGTTTTTAGACTTACTTCGAAAAGTTAAATCCCGTTGGATAGAGCTCCGTGATCCGAATCGATTGAGCGCACTTCCGAAGAGGTGGCACAAGAATTTGCTGAGAGAAGTCCAATTTAATACAGAGCACAGGATTATACGATTAGCACGCACACGCTGGCAAGGTCGTAAGCTTGTTCAACGAGTAGCACATGAGGGTAGATATGGAACAGCAATCGTTAAAAATTACTTGAAAAAGCTAATATCACCGAAGTAATTTACCAACCAGTTCTCACGTAACTAACTTTTTATTGTTCCAAAAAGGTGACAGACAATGAAAAAGCTGGTGTACCAAAAGCCCTTGTGGGGGCTTATAGAGTCTTGTAGCTCTGCCTGGTCGAGTAGGTTGATACGCATACGGATAACGCTCTGTGGAGCGGATGGCTAATATCGGTGAGCATTTTAGATGCATGTGTGTTACGTGAGTTGACATGGTTGGCTACAATGATGTTACCAAGTTCCAGCCTTGAAATGCCACTACACCTGGATAGGTGTTTCACTGACTAG